CAACCACCCTCTGCTACCAAGCTAGACTGGGAGGAGGGAACACAGCCAGGACAGGTGGTCCAGCTGGCCAACAGGGTATTCCATACCATGTGACGTCACGCTCAGTATATGAATGGTAGGCATGATCCAAGAAGTACTGATCGCTACTTGGTTATCAGTCAGCGCGGGTGGTGAGCAATTGCATTGTGCATCACTCATTTTGTATATTCTATCATTATTATTATTATTTTCCCTTTTCTATTCTATTAAACTGTCTTTATCTCAACCCACGAGTTTTTCTCACTCTTACCCTTCCGATTCTCTCCCCGTCCCGCTGGGGGTGGGGGGAGTGAGCGAGTGGCTGCGTGGTATTTGGCTGCCTGCCAGGTTAAACCACGACAACAACTAATCAATATGCATTTCTAATGAGCTGGAAAATCTCTATTATTTATGAATATCGGGCATGACATTAGGAATAATAAGTTTTTTGTGGAAATATTTAATCAGAAGGGTTTCTTAAATGGATCTAGCAAAAAGGGCAAAATAAATTTATAGTTATCTGTGGCAAAACAAGGGAAACTGTCAGTTGAGAAAACCCTGTCTAGTAACTAGAAAAGGTTATTCCTTCTACTCCTTAATCTCAAACCCACTGCGATTGGACTTGAAATACAAGGTACAGTCAGAGATGCTAAGCAGGGAAGTGGTGCACATGGACGGAGATGAAAGGATGTATCTAGATTGATAAAGCTGAGGCTCACAGCTAGCATTCACCTCTCCCAAACTTTTAAAAATCATAAAATGATGACAGAAGCATCCTTGCAGGTGCCAAGCTCACTGGGTCTGCTCCACATCTTCTGGCAACCGCTGAAATGTGGAGACAGTCAGAGCACTGCAGGCTGGCAGCATGACACCTCAAAGAAATTGAGAGATGGGTCAGTTGTGAATGATCTGCTCTTAAGAGGTCTCAAAAAGAGACTGAGCCTTTGATTTCAGAGTCTGTAATAGCTACAGTCTGAGAGAGATATTTTCAGGCAGGATTTTTTAGTAAACATGTCTGGAAATAGTAAGCATATGTGATGGTTCCATATTTCATAAATGCTATGAAAAGGTTAGAAATAACTCACTGAGAACACTCTGGGCATAATTTAACTTGTCCGTTACGTAATAAAACACCACTTCTGCCTGAAATAGAGCCATGCAGTATTCAATAGGCCACGTTCTCTTCAAGAAGTTACTAACATGCGACAGCAAAGCAGAAATCTTGATCTGTGACAGCAAGACAGTCATTTTGTGGCTCAAAAGTATCACTCTCAAACTCTTCTAACAAAGCAAAGCAAAAACTACGGGGTGTTTTTTTTTTTTCCCCGCAAGAATTGAAAAACAAGCCCACACTTTCAACAAGTGACAGAATCTTCCACTTGAACAGCTCCAGAACTGCATCATGTATTAACACTGTCCAAGCTTTCTATTGAGGCTCTGCAGTCTGCCAAAATATTCAGACAGTGCTTTGGCAAAATGTTTGCTTCAATTCGTATCCTAGCACGGCTTCTTTTCTAGAGCCTCAGGGAAGGGATAATTCAAAAGAAGCACCGATTAAGCGGGCTGAACCACACACACAAAGCTTCCATTCAAAAAGCCTGCTGTTTTTCAACCCGAGTTGCTAACACTATTTATCTTGCTACTCTGATCAGAATCCCGTATTACAGTATGAATGATAGTTAAATCTTAATATACAGCAAAGACTGCTCAGATAAATGGCACAGCAAACTAGAATTTCTTACACTAATTCTTGTCATGGAGGTACGCATGAGCCCTGCAAGGAAAGCAAAAAGAATCACAAGTCTAATGCCACAGTTTGCCCATACTACTTACTTTAGTTATTCCCCGATAGAGGGAGGGCCCCCAGATGGCTGCAGAGTAACACCCCTGGCTAAAACCCGGCAGCTGTTGCCACCTTTTCATGATATAGATGCCTCCCTGCAGAATTCTTTCTTAACATTTCATGCAGACATACAGTGTCCTCAAGCTTCACTTTAACTGACCTACAATAACAGGCAATTTCCTACCTCTCCCCCCAGAAGTCTTCAATTAAAATTATTCTTCAGAATGTTTCTGCTATAGCAAAGAAACAGCTTAGCAGCAGCGAGCTTACAGAACAACCACCTCTATAACCCAAGTTCCAGAAAAAATATGCAAAGTTATTCTAAGAAAATAAATTGCCAGTCAGACTGCTCTAATTGATCCAAGCAGTGCAAGTTCCCTGTAGAAAACTCTGTCAGGAAAATGCATATGTAGTTTTCGTATCACAGTAGATTCAGACTGCTTTCTTGACTTAACACTAAGTATAAAACTTTGCATACTTATGAAGAATCCAAAAATCTCACACGAACTGACAAATCAGCTTCATATAACGATTTGCAATTTTTTACGTTCTACATTATGACTGAGAAAGGCATCAAACCTCTGAAATGAAAAACGGGATATAAAGAGTAAGTAGATATGAAAGAATCAGTTCACCTACGCACTTCTGTGCACAAGTCACAAGAAACTGGGAGTATGCAACGGTACTGTCCAACAAGAGTTTCTATTTGAAAAGACTCATTAAAGTAAGCGCTGCTGTTTCATCTTCTGTTAGAAGACTGACTTTGGCTTGCAGTGTTTGGTTTGATTTTAAACCAGTGCATACGATTTCCTACAGAAAGAAATAAAAACCCAGTAATGAGATTCCAGCAAAAACAAATTCAGTATGTGAAAAAAGAAAACCTCAGCACTAATCAATACAGCTGCAGTGCCTATAGTGGACCTACGCTAACATATATCAACCCGCTCACTCCCAGAAAATTCTCACCTCACCAGGATCCCAGTTCTGCTTCTGTTGATACCAACAGTTGCACCTTAATACATCAAAACTGAATTTTTGTAAAGAAACTTTACCCCTATGACACAGTGTTTAAACAAAATTCAGAAGCAGGAGGAGCTATATTATTTCCTAGTTATGAAGCCCAACATTTTAGATCAAAGAAAAGTTACTCTTAACTTTTGCTCCTTAAAAAGTTATTTCTACTTCCTTTTGACTAGAGCTTATTTCCCTCATTCCACTAGGATATATTCCAGGTCTTTTTCCATTAACTGCTTTTAAGATTTTTTGAGTTAATTCTTTAAATTTTGTATAGTTTCAGAATTTTTGTTGGTCTTCTTTTTTTCAATTTATATTCTTAAAGGCAAAAAAAACCCCAAACAATTTCTCTTTGATACCATTCTTAGTGACATGTTTAAAGAATTCCAGCTGAATTAGATTCCCAGTTTGTCTTCACCAGGCTTAATTACTAAGGGTGTTTTGTTTAAGATAGTGTTGTAAACGAAAGACATGCTGCAAAAGAGCAAATATACCGAAAACACTGGGAGCATGGTGAGGGAAAGTGGGGCAGCACCACATACTAGAATATTGTTTTGCTCTATACAACAGAATCCCAACATTATCAAAATTTAATCCTCAAATAACTTAGGCTATTAGAAATCACTACCCTAAAAAGTGCTAGAAATTGTTTCTGTAACACACATTCAAAATGCACATGTAATGCAGTAATTGAAAAGCATTATATAAATTACAATGAAGCAACTATGACAACCATAGTGCCATCCGGCACAGCACAGAAAAAAAACACTAAAATCAAGCATCAATGTTTGCAAAAATCCTTCCTCCCAGTTATTTTATATAAGCTTTTTCATACACTGAGGATGTCTATAAGGAAACAGCAAGAAAACATATTTATTTAACTACATTTATGAATTTGTCACTTCTTTCTCATAAACACAAGTCAAGGGGTGATGATCAAGACTATAAAAATCATCTTAAGATACTCTATGGTAGACATCAATTAAAACCCTGGGAAAGCCTTGTGACCTTCCCACAGAAGTGGAGGAGAATACTGTTTTCTGTTCTCTGAACAATTCCTCCTTGGTTACTTACAGTCTGCAAAAACTGGAGTTTTGGTTCATGATTAGAAAAACACTGGCAAACACATGGGCTAGAAAGGATGCCTGATTACAAATTCATGCTTGGGGTGGCAAGGAATGACCTAGTCAGATGGGCACATACATTTTGAGTTTCTTCCAGAGAAGATACAAAACACATTGCCTTTACCAAAATTAATTTTAGAGATTGAAACCATTACTATATGATTGAACAAGGAATGTGAACTAGATGAGCTCTCATGGTTCCTTGCAGTCCAATTTCTTTTGCTAATTAAAAATAACAGACTGTGCAACACACCATTTTTATTCCTTTTACCATCAATACATTTAGCATACATGAGAACAAACACATTGGTGCGCAACCCAGTTAAAAAAACCACCATTCTAAAGGACTGTTTTATTAAGTGTAATTTATCTCTCTGTGTTAATGAGAACACAGGAATAAATAGAGGGGGAAAAAGTTCAAGCAGTACAACATTTAAAAATACCTAGTTACTTTGTTCTGTATTATGAATCATTATTTGTGCAGTACAGTTTACTATCAAAGGTCTAACTCCACCTTCTAACTGTAGAGTAAGTTTGACTTAACACAGCAGGAAATGTAGGCTGATGACTTGGGACCAGAAAGGCCATCTTACGGTTACTGAATCCAGACACTGGTCACTGCAATCATGTATTTTAATCTTACTGATAAGCTTACCCAGGTTTGTCTTTAAACCTGACTGATTTCTTTGCAAAAAGCAATAACCAAAGACAAAGACACACCAAAAAGCTGCAGTTTTGTCATTTAAACCCAAAGCCTATGTTTTACATAAGCCAGTATACTTCCCAGTTTTAAGCTGACTTTTCCCTTTAGAACATGAGGATGCAGCAATGCTGAACTGTCTCTCAAAATCAAAATATTTCAGGCAGTTTGGTAAAAGTACAGCAACATTGTTTCACAGCTCTTAACAGAGGAACAGTTGGCATACAACAACTGTCAGCTCAAGGAAAACAATGTAATAAATCTTACAAAAATAAATAAAAGAGAGAAAGTGTTTACATACCTATGCTTAACAGCTGCAAATGGATCTGTAGTTTTCCAAGGGTACTTCAGTGACGAGTTTCCTGACACAGTTCAGATCTCTTGAATACCATAGTCATGCAAAAAGAGCCGTTTCTCATCTACAGTTAGTATCAGCAGAGAAAGAAAATAAAAACCAAATACTGTAGTTCAGAATAATAGCTCTAAAATTCGCACTGACATGCAAAGCTGCCAGCCCCACACAACCACCCTATCCACCTAATTACATTCAGCTGCTTGTCATGTGGTCTTGCTGACCGATCAAGTGATCTCTTTTCCTCTTAAAACTAAGCAACGTAGTTAACTAGATCTCCCTAAACCAGGTAACAAACATTGAGCCTTTGCTTAAACTACTGACCCTCCCCCTTCTTGTCACAGGGAGAGGAAGTTGCAGTATGTTTCATTACAAAAAAATAGAATAAAATACAGCAAACACAGTAGTCCACTATAATGAAATACAGTGAGCACCAAATGCTTGCAAAACCTAACGGAGAATTTCAGTTTTGAGCCTGTTTTTATTTTATGCCTTTACAGATGGCAGAAACAAGTTACAGATAACAAAATTGATGAAGACACCTGCGTGAGACCACATGAGAAGGAGTTGGAAGGATTCGGACAGGCAGCGGCAGCAGTACCCGGGGCTTTGTGGGCATCCACGTCCAGCCTCTTCAGCTGGAACCACTTCTGATAGGAACAAGCTCCAACAAAAGACCAGAGTTAAGTTGTTGCCAGAAACTTTCTGAACAACTGCAGCTAAATCTGCAAGCCCCTTCCTCAAACCTAAGAGATATATGCAGACATTTCACACATCTAATAATTTCAAGGAAATAAAGTTACTGATTTAACATGTAAACCAACTCTTCCTCAACAACAAGTCCATTCATCAGGGCTTGTTAACACAGACACCCAACAAGCAAGATTCACGTCTGGCCACATTATGGCACTGGTGCCTGCACCAAGGCACTCGCTGGACAGAGGTCCCTGCGCTGGGTCCAAGGGATAAGAAAGGAACTACACAGCCTGCGGTCACCACGAGGCCTTGTCCCCTCTCACAAACGCTCTTGACATTACAGATGCTAACAGTAGAGGACTGAAAGGTGTGAACAAAGTGAGTTTTGCACTCACCATGTAAGATGTAGCAGATGTGAGCTTTTACAGAAGATGGGTCGCCTTGCACAACCCTTTCTTGTCTCGGTTTCTTTCCTCACAGTGTTTCATGAGCAGAGAAGTAACAAAGCAAATTAAGAAGGTTTCTAAGACTACTCTCCAGTCTTATAATTTAAGAAGTGCTGCAGGCAGCCTGCTACAGCATTTAATGTATCCTGAATGCATTCCTCTACCAGTAACGAAAACAACTCCACAAGCTCCTTAATTCACTTGTCTCAACTATCTTGCCTCCTTTCCTGCAAATCAAAGCAATTTTTATTGCCCTTTCCCCAGCGAACATTCAAGTTCCGTTATACTGGCAAACAACTACCTGTGGTGGAACACCTTTTCATGCCCTACCTTAGCATTTTTCCCCGATTTAACTAAAATCCATTTCTTTGACATTTTGTTACAGGTTGTAATTTTTAAAACTCTACCCATTCTTGGCTCATTCCAATCTTCTACAAATTTCACCACAGTTTCAGAAGAATACAGAAGTCCCTTTTTTGCTCTCACATGCAATAAAAAAGTTTGTGTTCAATTTTCAGCAACGTGAACATTTTTAATCTTCAACTGCTTCCCTGATCGATACCAGCGCATTTGCTTACTGTGAAGAAATTCAGACCACAAGCAGCCAAGAATTTCTGGTAACTGCTCCAGAGCGCAGAAGGAGGAACAGGATAAGAAGTGTTGACAGACAAAGCAACAACTCTTTTGCCATGTTGCAAACAGCCCTGGGGGGTGGCTACATGCGTTGAACACAAACTGCCTATCTGGAAGTCTCAACCAGCAATGCAAATGGAGTTCAAGCTCTTCCACACAGTAAGATTTTTGCTATCTTTGAGGGGAAAGCAATTCACAAATAATTTCCAGACTTCAGTTTTTGATTTCAGGACAGAACGAGGCTTCTTAATTTTCCTCTTACCAACCTGGTGTGAGGAATACCAACAAACTTCCACTTCCCCCTTCCAGGAAAGGGTTTTATCCGAAACAGTAAGACTTTGCTAGGAAGGTACAGCTGAAATAAAGTTTATTTTCTGAGGGTGAAGTTACATTGATTTCAAACTGCAGAGTTAGTACCAAAACAGAGGGCCCCAGTTTACAAACGGGAGGACATCAATGTTTGGTTATTTAAAGTATCTGTTTTTAAATAAACACATTTGCAGCATCTCAGCAAATGCTGCACAAACAGCTGAGCCAACCCTACTGTGGTGGCAGGAAGCACACGCAAACGGTACGGCAGCAGCTGGAACAGGAACCACTGCAGCCAGCCCACGGTAAGCCTTCCTCTTGCTGCTACCCAAATCTTAGGGCGTTGTAAGAGCTTGGACATTTTCTAAGTTTATGTAGGGGATCAAAATTACACCAGTAAAGTCCTGAAACCACGAAATGCAGTTTTCAAGCTACAACTCTACAAAGGAATGGCTACCTATTTAGTTATTAAATCTTCTGATAGGGAGTAATATCATAAGTTT